CCACCCCTGTGCCACCACCAGCTCCTCCCTTCCTCTCACACAGGTCTGTCTGGAGGTCACACCTCAGCTTCCAGGATCAGCACATCCCTGTGGAAAGGGGGGGTCAGCACAGCGGGGGGTGGGTGTCTGTGAGGGGATGTGAGGATTTCCCTCCTGCCTCGGGTGTCAGAGCACTGGGTCCACGTGGTTCTCATGCTGGGGGTCTGTCTGTCCTGCCGGGAGGAGGTGGCAGAAGGGTCACCCCAGCCCTGGGGGTTTGGGGTCACCCCACGGACGTGCTGCTGGAGCAGGAAGGACGCTCGGTGACGTGTCGCTGCCGTTCCTCTCCCGCAGTGACCCCCTCGATTGTCTCCTAGGCCCACCCATGGACCCGGACGAGGACTCGGACAACAGCTCAGTTTATGTGCAGGGGCTGGGTGACAATGTGACCCTGGAGGACCTGGCAGACTTCTTCAAGCAGTGTGGTGTTGTCAAGGTGAGGAGGACATGGGTCAGGTGCCCACGGGAGAGGCCTCTTGGGCCGTGCAGCTGTTTTGGGCTGGTTCCTTCCTTTCTTGGCTTGCCCAGGCAGCCGCTGCAACCCGGGGAACCAGAGGGGCCCTTTCTCCTGCCACGGAGTCACCAAAACAAGGCTGGGCTGCCTCAAGTCCAAACCAGAACAGAGGAGAGCGAACCTCTGCTCTGCCTGTGGGGAGACGGGACTTGGGGTGACGTGTTGCTCTCCTGCTAGGTGAACAAAAGGACGGGGCAGCCCATGATCAACCTCTACATTGACAAAGAAACCGGCAAGCCCAAAGGAGACGCCACGGTCTCGTACGATGACCCCTCTACCGCCAAAACGGCCGTGGAATGGTTTGATGGTGAGTCTGCGGGGCGTGTTTGGGGGTGGCATCACTTTGTTCCCCAGTTCCGAGCCCCGTTCTTGTCTGACTGGCCTCGGGAGGATCGCAGGTGGTCAAGCCTAAGAAGTTGTGGTTGGAACTGGAAGAGATACGTATGGTGCTGGGGTTGTGGTTGCCCTCGGTTGCTCAGGCCTCTGTCTCCTGCAGCAGGAGCTGCTCTCTGTCCCACGGGTGAAATTTTTGCCCTCGGGCGCAGGGTTTTTTTTGGCAATGAACTTTGGGGCGCGGTTGCGTGCGATCCCTGGCTGCGGCGGGCGTGGGAGCGGGGCCTGAAGCGATGCTCTTGCCCTCCTGTTGCTCCCAGGGAAGGATTTCCAGGGCAGCAAGCTGAAGGTGATGCTGGCGCGGAAGAAGGGCCCGATGAACAGCATGCGGGGCGGGATG